ATCGACAAGATTATAAAGAATCTTGTAGATTTCTTGAAATGTAGAGATGGTGACGGAGTATGTAAAAGTTTTTTGTACCCAGTTTAATGGCAAATAAAGATTATTATTATTTAGAATTTCATCATAATTTGCTTAGCGCCATACGCCAGAGAATGTTCTTTCCCATTTCGCATTGAACCAGTCCCGTCCGCTCGTGTTAAATTATAAGGCGAAAACGTGACCAGACTCCTCAAATCGCATTCTCTAAATTTCTGACTTTAGCTTTTATTCGTTGCCATAGCCGGATACGCACGAGTGATTTTCTACTTTTTAATTATTGTAAAAACCAGTAAACCCTTTTTGGCCTTGTCTTTTTTTTTTTAATTTTTTTATCCGATTTTTTGTGACCGATGTACGTGAATTCATGTACGCTGAAAAGGGTTCGAAACGTCGGGAAATAAAATAAAAAAAAAAACGCGATAAATCCGTAATATTTGATTATATTTAGTAATGTTTAACCGCGTTATTGCGAAAAGGTCTGTTGAATCTATATTTCAAATTTGTGATTATGGTTTCGAATAAATGCTCCATCTGGCTCCATCCTGATTCGTACTTATAATTCGTAATTATACCTTCGGCATTTAATTTCTTTACAAACGTAACTCCTTGGGGCCCCAATGTGCTTCATTAATTGAATAATATGTCGAAGCTGCGCTATATATGAACTTTTCGAATACCCTTAAGAATTATTTTATAATACAGTCTTAAAAAGACTGCTCTACCGCTCGATAACTGCGGCGCGTTTGTATTGCGCACATAAATGCAGCGCTCTCTGACACACAAAGCAGGTGGATTAAATGTATAGAGCTAGATGGAGATTATGACGAAAAAAATGTTCTTTTTCATATTTTATCTTGTTTCCTTGACTAGGCCGCGAATTTTCAAATGATTACTAAAAAACGAGGTTCACAACTTGGGTTGTATTTTTTAACTGTTTGTTACCTCAGAACTCCATCGTTTATGAACCGACTTTAAAACTTTCTTCTTGTATCGGGTTCGGCTTAGCTCCAATATGGTAAAATATTAATTGCATTTGCATTGAAAATTGTGCTTCGGTAATAAAATCCAATAGAAAATGTATATTCAATGAGGTATTTCAATCCGGTTATGTCTTCCCATCCGCATAAACACTTACCCATTTGCCGTCCGTTACACAGCCCTGTACCTTCTGTGTAATGCTCACATATAAAGTTTTATATCCTCGGCTGCGCGTCTCGTCCGCAAAACCGCCCCTTTCCTCGCCTCCGTCTCCGGCGTGCCTTAAAGACTTCCGCTTGGAGGGAAATTACAGTCTTCCTCGGTCCCATGAACGACTCGAGGCCCCATTTAATGGCGTGCGCTGTTTGCTCGCGACCGTTTCATAGGGAGCGCTTTGCGTTGTGTGACGCTGGTGAAAATGTACTGAGGTACCCATATAATAGACAAGTCAATTTCTTTATTAACGAGAAACAAAACAGACTTCATATCTCGCTCTGTATTCATGTTATTGATTTTCAGGACTTCCCTTCGTACCTCCGGAGCCCAGGATCCAATACCAATGAAATTAATATGGGACCACATGGGAAGCACCGGCTTTCAAAAAAGAATCAACAAAATAGGTTCGAAAGTTCCGAGGTAACAAACATAAAAAAAAATACAGTCGAATTGAAAACCTCCTCCGTTTTTGAAGTCGGTTGAGAATGAAGCCATTCGTGGAAATAATAATTTGCTCCACTAAAAGAAACTTGTGCTCAGTAGATCACATCGCTTGTACGAAGTTAGTATAAGAAGTTATTTACCATTCGAATCATTTTATAACAGTGCTAACATTCGTCGCCCAATTAGAGTGACACTTAAAGCAATAATGATCGATGAGGTAGACGGTATGCGTTTGGATTTCAAGGCGTGGTTTGCTCGAATTCGGCTGGCTTGTTATTCGCCTTTGTCTTGAAGTTCAGCAGTCTTTCGCTAGGGTTGGTATCAAATACATCATACTGAAAGTGTTAACCTTTTATAATTTTAATCCGTTATAATTCCCGTTACAGACGCGCTTTTTTTTCTTAATCTTGCTTGATCATTGTTTACTCTTGCTCACAGCATTAGGCTGCGACAACGCGGGACGTGAGTTCGATTCGAGTGTTTGTAAACCCTGCAAGTACTTGCTCTAGTTCCGGGTGTCTGTCTACGTATAGTTTGTTTCTTAAACGACTTTGCTGTCCAAGATAATTTTCATGCTATAGTATTATAGATACAGTATGAGATGACCCGGTGGTTCAGTCGCTAAGCCATTGGCTTTCGCGCCTGGGGACGTCGATTCGATTCCGACGCGGGGCAAGTATTTGTTTTCCGAATCTGGTTATTTGTTCGTAAGGAGCGTTGACGTCAGGCAGGCGGCCGGTAGTAAAAGACATAGGCAAAACCACTTACGACGATGTGTCTGGGTAGGCTCGCTTAGGTGGGTTAAGTAATGGTGAGAAGGAGGATGATGAATTAAAGTAGAAGAAATTATTTTGACGGCGCGAATGATATCCGCTGTCTCTACATATAAATGAATCTCCGTTATTATGCCTCGTATTATTGAAAGTGCACCGATGCAGCCGTCCGAGTCGCCCCGAAGTGCGGGCCGGACTGAAAACCAGTTTCAGTTTAAATTTGTTTCAATTTTAGTTTCCGTATCTCGATTTTTACCGAGTCCCGTCCATCCATTTCACGGTCTCGTGCAGCTAGCTAGACAGACTTACCTATATATTTTTAATGTTTTCATTTCTTTTAATTTTCACAATATTGATATATGTTCCGCGTGATTAAAGTTTGTTGTGTATCTATTGTGGTTACACCGTAAATAAATGTGTTTCTTACTTACTTACTTTCTTTTTTTCAATATGTCATAATTTAATTTACGGTCGACGATTCTTTAAATAGCGTTCTATGAATATTTTCATATGCCTATCTTTAATTAGCAAGTGAGTTTATTTTTATTCATCTGTCACAGGTACAAAGTGTTAGTTAAGATGTATATTGGCAGAGAAACCGAACCCATGACAACGTGCGTGTTTTAAATATTGCGGGTCGTCAGGGGACCGCTTTGGAAGGGTGTACCTTGTTCACACGGTGTGATGGGTTTGAAGTTCTTACACGGGCGTAGCAAATGCCCACTACGGCCGCGAAAGTATGGCTGCCATTTTCATTTGAAAAAAAAAAAAGAAAATTACTAAACGATATATTATCTCTGATTTTGCTCCTCTCTGATATATTTCTCTGATTGTCCATGGATGTAAATAAAAATCCCCTTCGAAATATATTAAACCATGACATCTACCATGATCATTGTTTCAGAAACCGGGCGTTAGTGTTGAAAATAAAGAATCTAGACGCGGTTATCTTAATTTAAAAATCGTAAAATTGTTGCACGTGAACAATTCATTTCTTCCTCGAAATAGCTCGTTAACGCATGCGACCGAAACAATTTGCGCGCCAAGCGAAAAGCGAACTTGAGGGCGGCCGATTCCTCACGGTCGGGGTCAAGTCTCGCTTGCCGACGCAAGAGCGCGGGCGGAGCCGCCCGCGGCACGGCCTTGACCCCGTTGAGAGACGCTAATTAAAGTTTTTTTCCTAAAAACGTTACGTGCATAATGTTGACGCGATTTGATTTTTTTCCTGATTATCTTATGTTGCCAGTCTTATAACGCTCACTTAAGCCGTTAAATGCAGCTGCGTGACGATGTCTATGCTATTTCTTATTTCTTTTTTGTAATATTTTGTTGTCCTTTGTTATTTTGAGAATTGCTATTAACTAATCTAAAGTTGTTTTATCCTTCTGTTAAATTACAATATAAAAATGTCAAGTTCAAGATACTTTTCATTTTGAAACATACAATTGACACATAAACATTCTTCTTTCAGCCTATTTTGCTGAAACCACTAAAGCACGTCATTTTACCTTAAGTGTTTTTTTTTTAAAGTTATGTATTAATACGTAATAAAAACGTACATAAGCGAGTTTTCAATTTACAGTTTACAGGAAACGTTGTGTTCAATATATTTCATTTTCAGTATAAAATAATGTCAAGTTCTTCGCTGTACTCGATAGCGATTCCGCCGTTCCATGTATCAATTAGTCATGTTTAATTGTATTATTAACGGTTGCATGAATACAATGAGTGGGATGCTAACGTTTTTAGTTGTTACTATACGACTAAATATAACAACTTAATGATTTATTGTTTACATTTTCCTAAATTGTCAATTTGAAGTTAAGCTAGTAAATTTATATAAAGCGAGAAATAAATAAGGAGAGTGTAATAATAATGTGGCGTCTTAAATAAGGTTCGCGCGGTAAAAGTATGGCAATTATCGTCATTAGTTAACTTTTCCAGACACTCGTCGGGTGCGGAGCCCAAACGCGCCGAACAGCTCGCGGTGATGACAACGTGTGTTTAAGAAACATCATTTCATGTTACTCAAACATGACAAGATGATATTGTCTTCGGCGCCGGGGGTCTTGGATTCGATTCCCACACGCGACAACTGTTTGTGTGATCCGCAGATTTGAAAAAAAATTGTCAAAGTAAAAACATTTTTTGGCCCATTTATCTTGGTAAAGCTTATATTCGAGTTTTTCTCTAATCCTGTTAATGGATAATTAGTTAAAGAGTGCAAGATAAAACTGTCGCGTCCAGCATAATCTTATTGCGCGAAAATCTCGACGTCTTATCCATAATTTGTTTTTATTGCACTTTTAGCAATGCTTGACGTCATTTTATGTGCTTTAGATAATTAGCATCAATGGATTGTGGTTCACTAATGAATCTGCGTTTCCCAGGTTATAATTCCCATGCTGTCGACAAAATACGCTAAGTTTTAATGAAAAGTCGCGTGTCGTTAAATATATAATTTAGTTCGTCATATATAATGTATAGAATTTTATCTAAACAAAACTGGACACAGTAATGATCTGCTAACTCGTGTCTGTCCGTCTCCAGGGGGTGGTCTGAGCAACGGCGTGATCCTTCAGCGATTCCCCGAGACGAACTGGGAAGACACACCCTTCCACGACGGTATCGAATGGGTAGGTATACATTCGTGTGTGTGTTCTTTTCTGACGCCGCTAACGAAACAAAGGTAGTCTTTGCCCAACGGTTTGGAAGAGTGGCTACGTCTTGCACTTTATAGCGGTCTGCTGCTAAATGGTTTATATTATTATTGTCGACTCGTTATATATTTTTTTTGGCGATTAGTGTGTACGAACGAAGATGTAGTAAATGCGTAGACATTATCAAAATTTAAATGTACAAGTTCAAGTTTTATTTATTAAATTTATAACATATTAATTGAGTAGATTTATGATTTTTTATTTTATTGTTTTACTTTGTTAGGCTTGTTACCTTTTAAAGGTTTTAATTTTTACGTTTTAAAGCTGAAATGAAAATCATGGTGTGTTTATCTTGATAGGTTTTTATATGAGATGTGCGAAGGAACTGGTGGTTCTCCCGATGTTAAGTGATAACCGCCCCTATTGACATTTGCAAACACCCGAAGCGCTGCAGGTTGGTTTTAATAAAGTAGGCCCCGGCTACCTTACTCACGAGACGAAACGCAGATGTATAACACCGTCTTCAGGCCTGTCTTTCGTGAGGTCATCGTACTTACCCACAAAAAAAAACAGCATCAAAAATTTACACTGTAACATGTACTAAAAACATTAAATATTATCATACCAAGTGATACGTTATGTAAATATTTTTTAATAACTACTTGCTTTAGAAATTATTCAGAGAGCTGAGAAAGATACCCACTTCGAAAAATTCGTTATTGTACCTATTTATACAGCCAGTGAAGGATTTTTTACGTTAACGCCCGGCTTCTGAAACACTGATCATCGTAGAGGTTAACTAATCAGCCGTCAAATGTGAATTCAAACAGTTTAATCATCCTTTTGGCAAACTCAAATGACATTTGAAAAGCCACTTGACAGCTGATTAGTTAACATCTACGATGATCGGTTTTTCAGAAACCGGGCGTTAGTCAAGCAAAAGAACAAAATTAACGTACACAACCTGGTAAGTTAGGTTTTATGTAACAGTCAGTAAGGCATTCTTAATTGATCCCGCTTTGACTGTACCCCCGATAAGTGCTTCATTTCACCTTCCACCTGTACATTGACCGGCGCGTTTGGCCCCAGTTCTGCCAACCGCAAGGATGGGCGCTCTCCACGGAGCGCTCCGAGCCCCGCTTCTACGTGTCCGTGCTGACGGACGTGGACGCGAACCGCCACTACTGCGCCTGCCTCTGCTTCAACGAGACCGTCGCCATAACGCCCACGAAGCCCGCCGACGAGGTACGTGTCCACAGTATTATGTGCACTGTGTACAATTGTCCACATTGTGATGTGCCCCGTGTACATTGCTCTCTGAAGCCGTCGCCCTGTCATTATACGGTATTCGGAGGCCTATGAAGATGTGTGATCAGAACTGGAGGACGGAGCGATGGTTAAATAAGAAATAAGGCCTATATTAATTATTTATATGTGTCCACAATACGACGTACACTGTGTACATTGCTCCAGAAGCCGCCGCTCTGCCATTTTACGGTATTAGGAAGGCTTTGAAGACATGTGATCAGAACTAGAGGACGGAGAGATGGTTAAATAAGAAATATGGCCTATATTAAAAATTTTATGAAAAACCTGAGGTTATCGTAAAACTTCTTAGCGCATCTACTTTTGAGAGATTCGTTTGAGATTTGGAGTCGATTTGAAGCAGACGCTAATTTATATGATATTTTCTGCAACCATTACGTTTTTGATGACAGCCGACGTAGTGGTGTGCATGCCAACTGTCAAATTTTTCAGCTCTGTTTAGAAGCTTAAAGAACGATGTAACTTTTGTAAATTATGAAAAAAAATATTAGCGTTAACGTAGTCCGCATTAGTGAAGAAAAAACCTTGGGTCTCATTGCGTCTAATGGGCTAGATAGCTAGTGCAGTAAATTTTTCGTCTTTTAGAGTCTTGACTTTCTGAAGTGGCAAATTTGTTACGATACACCTGACACAAATATTGTGATGGGAAAATGGTTCCAAATCAAAAAATCATTGCTGTGAAATTGGTGTCGATGCTGGGATCCATTTACCAGGCTTATTTTCATTATCTCTGTCTCTGAATGTTGCCGTTTATTTTCTCAAAAGATTGAAAACTACCAACATATATTTTAAACAATAAAATGATGAAATTAAAGTAGTAATTAATTCCCTGTAGATAAGTTTAAAACACACAAAACTTATTAATTTAGACTGATGGATGACATAGGTACTGTTGAAATACATTACAAGAAATTATGTGAAACGAAATTGAAACGTTCACACAACAGTTGAATGGAACAGATATCAATATAGTGCAATTTTTTCACTTAGTAAACCGCTAAAACCAATTTACAAAGCAAATTAAAAAAGCTCACAGAAGTAAATACTTTAAAATGCCTCAATAATTCAGCGTTTGCATCGGTAAATGTAGGCTTTTATATCCACAAAGGATTGATGGTGTGGTGAACATTTTTAACACTCAGACCACGCGCGACAGCGTGCATGTCGAATACAAAAGATCACAAACCCACCCAGTTGTATATCTCTGTACCGCTCCAATCGCCAACTGTGGCATTGGCATGCCATTGCGACGCGATTGTCGGTCGATTGCGACGGTCGTCGATAATATATAACTACATACCGCACAGATTGTATGTGTACAAGAAACAAACATAAATTATATTTACATACAACTAGTATTTCCATAATAAAATACCAGAAAACATTCTAAATGTGTCAGTTGTTAAATTCAAAAAATCGTAATGTAATTGTGTCAATGGTTGTTATAATGTTAGTGATTATTTAAATGATAACACACTCTGGAAATTAAGCGATTGCACCAGGCTCTTTGTAGTGGACTATAGTATAGGTCTTTATAATTATATAGTAAGCTTCTATGTCGAATTACAATTTGAATTAACGTTGTCGTACAGTGTCCCACGCGATTATGAACTGTCGAAGGGCGAGAGATAAACTGGGAATGTAGGTCGTGATTCAGCTCTCGGGGGTCATTTAGGGGTCTCCAACCATTCGGGAGACATTCAGGGGTCTCCAATCATTTTCTCTAGGCGTTAACGCTCTCTCTCCTAAGCCCGATGATTTGGTGAAACGGTGATTTGACAAAACTAGGTCGCGATAATCTTAGCGTCGCATACATTTTATTGTCAATTACATGATTACGTACACTAGGTGCTTTTTTTTTTCTTTGTGCCGGGATATCCTCACTAGCATAATATATCGGCGTACATGCGGTTATTATGTACATGCGATTTTAGAGGTAGGATGTCCTACTTAACACAGGGTGTGGTCAGATCATGACCAAAAGCTTATCCTGGGAAATGCAATGTTACAAATATTTGTTAAATGTTTGTTTTACTGATAAATGAACATAAACTTTCGACGCTGCGTGATTCAAACCTGCGTCTTCGACTTGCGAACGTTTTAACCAACTAAGCTTTGTAACCGATAAACTTACGGCGCGAATATTCTGTATTGGCAAGTAAGTACGTCGTAAAACTTAATTTTCGATATTTGCAATACGCGCAATTTTCAAGGCTATTAAATAAAAACTGAACAGACAGACGGCTATTGTTTTCACGATTGACTAGTAAAGTAATTTTAAAACATTAAACAAAATGTAGCGAGCCTTAGTTTGAGAGCATTGTATAAAGTTATTGAATACTAATAAATAATAAATAAATATTTCGGGACATATTTTTACACGTTATCTACTACCAAATTAAGAAAAGCTTGTACTTGGGATACTAGGTAACTGATAAACACACTCAAATGTACTTGTCTTTTGTAAATAAATACATATTATGGATATATTATAAACACCCAGACACTGGAAAAACACTGTTTTCATAACATAATATTTTTTCAGTAGTGGGGGGATCGAACCACGCCCTTTGGCGCAAGAGACAGGGTCACTATCCACTACGTCAATTACGTCGTCACACTAAACAGAGTAGATGTTAATATTAGCTCAGTCTCTCACCGTTCTCCCACCCAGCTGTTCCTGGAAATTGCCTAGACCTCTCAAAAGACCGGTAGAGGCCTGCCCACTTCAAAGGTGTAGTGGATTCATTCAACATGTGGTGACTGCATGCCTCTTTAAATCACAGTGTTTTTATGGGACCATTATGAACCATTTTATGAGAGTCGTGTGTATGGTGCCCAGGCTTTGCCATCTCACTGTGGTTCCTACCACAGTGAGATGGCATCGTTCTTAATCGTAATCTTAATCTAGTCTATCCTTAACTATATCTTGAGGATAGAATTCCCCTGACATAACCTCTAGATATAATAGTCTTTACAGACAGGGGAAGTACCTCACAGAACAAGGGCGTGGGAATAGAAGTGTTATACTTCATTCTTTCATTTTGTCAGTCTCGTAACCGGGTCCAACTTTTTGAAAGTTTGGCAACGAATCGCCAATGTCCTTCAGTTGTTGTATGTCCATAAGCGGCGGTAATCACTTCCATGAGGTGTACCGCCTTCTCGCTTGCCAACTATTCGACCGACTTCGTAAAAGAGGTTCACAATTCGGTTGAATGTTTTTTAATTTTACGTCGTTCCGAGGTAGCAAAACCTCGGAACGACGTATAACCAAAACCGCTTATAACACGATCCATGTCTTGTGCCGACCCTACCTAGTTGGGATAAGGGCAGGAGGATGAGGATGACGATGGCAGAACGACGTTGGCATTGGAATTAGGAACCCTGAGATCAAGCAACTCCACAAAATCAAAGAGAAAGCAAGTCGGATTCGCGCACGGAGGGTTCCGTACCATTTGTTTGTTTGTTTTTTTTTTAAACATTTACCATTATCTATAAGAACGGCAAATAAATCATGTCTGTTATATGGGAGCCCCACTGAAATACCTACTTTTTTATTGTGTTTTTTAATATTTGTTGTTATAGAAATACATCTGTGAAAATTTCAATTGTCGTAACTATCACGGTTCATGAGATACAGTCTGGTGACAGACAGATCGACAGACGGACAGACAGACAGGCAGACAGACGGACAAACAGACAGACAGATACACAGAGAGACAGACAGAGAGGCAGATACACAGAGAGACAGACAGACAGCGGAGTTTTAATAATAGGGCCCAGTTTTACCCTTTGATATTTGTTTATTATGGTAGAATTGTTGCGTTGGAAATGGAATGTAACGGCTTTGTTTTCCCTCCCGCAGGTTTCCATACTGATGTTGTTACGCGCACTCCTATTGTCATGTTGAAAACGCTTCTATTTATTCATGACCCCGGCCAGGCGGTGACGGCGTGTTTCCTTTCAATATTACGCAATTCTATTTAAAAAATATTCGCTCTTATATCGCAACGTTAAGGGCTCGTGCCTGCATTTTCGAACGTATATGTAAACTTATTTTCTTTCCATTATCGGGGAGCTAGGCTTTCGGCGCGGCTCTACGCTTATGCTGCCGTTGATTTGATTTAAAGAAGAAGGAAGCGATTCGCTTCGTCATTTATCATCCGTACAGCTAAGGAATGGAAAAACCTGACGGCGTCCTTCTTTCCGACCGATTATAAGGCAGGCAAGAGTGAATAGGTTTTTATTGAGCTAGCGCGCTTACCATCAACGGCTGCATCGCCTCTTACCATCAGGTGGGACGGCAGTCAAGTCAGTTTCGAATAAAAAAAATAACCAAAAGAGCAAACAAGCAAACAATTTATAACATTACTGATCCGACCTTCGTACCGCGTAACAAACAATGAATGTAGTGTTACCTTTTAGCTGAATTACATTTAGGCTTTTACGGAAGTAATACAATGAATACAAAAGAAATGTGAAGTTTAGTATTTATTTTAATTATAATACGCCATTGAAATAATCCATCGACCACCACTAACTGTGGTAGGGCCACGCAACAACAGTCTTCGCTGTTGCACAAATGGGCAAGACGTGAAGTCGAAGTGCTACACCTGTGGGTTTCGCTTGGTGAGTGTGGTAGCCGGGGCTATTATTAAAAGTGGCAACGCATCCGATACCCCACGGGTGTGGCAAGTTTCGTTCAATGGGTGGCGGTTATCATTTACCGTCAGGTGCACCGCCGGCTCGCTCGCCATCGTGTAACATGAAAAAAAAAATAGCGGACAGATCGTCGACCCGCCGCGGCCGAATATTTAAATAGCTCATTTATTACAGCCCGATAGCGCTACATTCGCTTTCGACGAACGCGTTTATTTATAAGGAGCGCTTCCGGCATTTGTTTATGGGTGAGCCCCGCT